TTCAAAGTCATTTATAATTTTATTGGATCAGTAATCTATCTTCTAAATGAATGGAAAAAAATTTATTGTACCTATGCAGTAAAATATTCAATAAAAAACAATAGAATGTTTATAGTTGATGTGATTTAATTTATTAATATCAACATTGAATATTCATTAGATGCCATTGAATTATATTGCTAATAATAAATGCTTAAATCTGTCTGTTAAATCTATTGAAATTATATATTTATGTTTTATTATTTATTATTATGTATGCTGTAAAAATTAATACATTAATCATAAAAAATGTTAATTATGATAAAATTTCAAAGCACTAAAAAAATTTTTTTACGAGTTAAAACAAAAAGCATTGAACTAAAAGTGATTCATTGAGGAATGCCTATTGAATTATTCTTGAAAAAATGTATAATTCAACATATTCAAAAGCAACATATTTATTTAAAGATAAAATATTGAGAAATGTCCGTCCTTGCGCGTAAAAGTATTATATTGCCACTTGGTGAAATAAAAATTGTCGTCAGATATTGACTCAGTTGTTTTTTTGCATGGATCCACTTGTGAAAGATGGTTTCCGTCGAAATGAATGTAAAGTTTAATGTTAGTTGCAAAGAATGACAATTTGACATGTATGTAGAGTCTTGGTTTTTACAATGTTCCCGACAAATCGGAAATCGCTAACATTCCTAGACCAATACTCGTCGTACTTACCTCGACCGTGAGACTATGTGTACGTTCCTTCAACCATCACAGTCATTTCATCGCAAACGAGAGACATACTTGCCAGACCTTCAGCATAAGCTAACCGACAACTTTTTTACATTAAAATTCACTGAGCTGAGATAAGCCGTTGGATCATCGATATGTGGTATATACACACAGAGAAAATAATTATTTTGAACAAGAATTCAATTAATTAAATTGATTGAACTTGAAAAAGTTATTTCTAAGTTTTTTACTGTGCTATTTTTTTTGCCTCATTCAAGTCAAAACATTGTTTATCATTTATTTGAGTTGTTTTATTTTTTATTCGTAGTTAGCTTAGGACATTGTTTGTAATGGAAAGAAAATCTTTTCAATTTATTTTTGAATTCATTATTTTAAAGAAAATAGACATTTTTTTTTCTCATCGATTTTTTTTGTATGAAAATGATTATTAAACTTAATCTAATTGATTAATTTTAATAAATTACTTTCTAACGAACTATTAACTATACTTAAAAATATTGAGCACAAATAATCCTATTAATGAGGTAATTTAGCATATAGATTAAAAATTATTATTTTTATAAGTAATTTTTATCTCAAATTGGGTAATTTTTCTTCGATATTTTTCTCCATGTACAGTTATTTGTTGATATCCTGGTAGGAACAAAGATTGACACACTCTGGACCCATTCTTGATCCAATATTGGGCCAATATAGCTTGTCTTTGTTTAATGTTGAGCTAAAAATAAGCTAAATTTTCTTCGTACTGGCAATTTTTTATCAGAATAAATAAAAAGTAAAAAAAAATTAATAATATTTTTTTCCTTTGTAATCTATAATTTAAAAAAATACTTTTACTTTAATAAGATGAAGACAAACCTTGAAGATGCAATTCATTAAAAAATTGTAATTATATTTTTCATGTCTCTTTTCAGAGTGTATTAACTTACTTGCACTTATTTGTAATTGGAATTTATATTTGTTTATTATTTTTCCTCCAAATTATAGTTATAACTATTATCTTACTGCAAATTTTGTATTATTACCCTCCACAATTGCTATAAAAGAATATTTTTTTAAGCTCTTAACAAGCAATTACATTGTTTTCTTACTTGAAGCAAATTATCAAAAATTGCAAATTAAAACAATAGACATTATTATTATGATGTTCGTGATGTGCACATTATGAGAAATTATTTTTTCATTAAAGAAAAAAAAAATAATCCAACATTACAACTTGTATAATTTTTTTGAACTTATTTGTGCCTTATAGAAACAAATATTTATTCAAAAATAAATTTGTAGTAAATGTTTTTTCAATTGTCTAGATTTTATATTGTAACTAGAACGTCATAAATAAATTCTGCTTTCATAAATTTACATAAAAAACATTCAACAAATCAGTAAATTGTATTTCAACCATAATAAATTCCTCGATAACTAAAGGACAGTTAGTTCTAACAGATCTAGTGCGACAATAAAATCATTGAAAGAGTTAAATAGTTCATGTTTATTTTATTTAATTAGATAATATACTAATAAAATGTCAGAAAAAAATATTTCGTGATAAAACAATCCATGAACTAGATTATGTTTATTGTTTAAAGAGAAAAAAGGTGTTAAATGTTTGATTACTATATTTGCTATTTAAATACAACACTTTCATTTTCTATTGATTAGAATCTCTTCTAACATTAACCCTTGCTACTGAGTTACGATTCTTATTTTTAGTTTAATTACTAAAGTCTATAAATTCTTAAACACAGTTATAATTCATGCTCAAAATGAACTAATAATAATTACTCTCAATTAATAATTATTTACTAATATTATGAATTGACTGGTAAATTTTCTGAATACAATAATTTTTTAATAATATTTTTTAAATATAAATAACTATAATGTTAATTGTGAGTCAATGACATCACTGAGAATTAATAAAATTTCACTTAAAGAATCAAAAGAATTGGTATTCACTGATTCATTCATAATTAGTCAATAATTAGCGGCAGACTTGACATTAATTATCAATGAATGAATGTTCATTTACAGTAATTTTCGCTGATTTTTTTCAAGAAAGTATAATTATCATCACAAGGATAATATCAATTTGTTAATAAATAAATAGAGTTACTGATTAACCAGTAAATATTAAGTTAACTCCAAATATTTAAAGAAATTTAACTGATGTAATTCAAGAAAGTTTAGAATCTATTATTGTTCTTCACATCTAGCCAGTTTTACGAAGATTATTATTTTCAAATCATAACCATGTTTATATATATTAATGCATCAATAAATAGCATGATGAAATTTTACCAGAAGGATCTTTAAAAAATTGTAAATATAATTTTTTATGCAGCCCAACTGATTAAAGGTATTTACAGTTATTCGATTAAAGATTTAAATTCAGATTTCATATATCGATTAAAATCTTAATAATACAGAAAAAAACATCAGTTACTTTTTTATACTCCCAACATGTTATTCTGACAATGACTAATCATGATCATATACGAATTTGACGCGAGGTTATAGCCATATACCGTAAGCAACTACCCTCGATTGAGAAACCGATGAATGTTGATAAAATCCTTAATGCAACAGGCCAGTGAATGCCACGAACCAATCGGAATATTGTCAACCTGAGATAAATATAAAATATCGCAGTGGTGACGTTATCATACAACTTATTGCGACGACCAACTGCTGGAGTCGTTCACTATTTGACTTTTTTATTTCCATAGTAACATTCCACCCATGATACCAGTAATAATTCAAGTACTAAATAAGAAACTTTTAGATAGATTACACAAATAATTCATATCGGTATATGATGTACTTATATAGTTCGAGAGAACCTAAGGGAAAAATGAAATAGTCATAGCAAAGAAAATCATGAGTTATATTGTTAGCTGCCTTTCAAAAGATGTTCATTATTTTTATTAAGAACCACTAGTGTAGCTAATTGAAAATCATCATTCATGTCTGAGTAATTGCTGATAATTTATTGATAAGAATAATATGCTATCTGCTTTTGTTACTTCATAATTTCCGTATGACTAATTGAAATTGATCAATAGATTGCTATTTATTTTTCTCAAGAATACAATTTACAATGTACTTCATCACTCAATTGGCTAAATCTTTTATGGAATTCTAATCAAAACAAAAATTCATTTACTGTTTTTTAACTATTTATTGTATTTCAATTTTGAATAATTCTTTTTTCTTGGGTATAAATAATTCTGAACCTCGGATGTTCATTAAATCTTCTTTTGAGTGAATGTTCGTCTCGTGAGATTGAGATGAACTTTGTGATAAACATTTAGTAAACTTTGAAAAATTTGTAACAAAAAATTAAAAGACAAAGCTCAAGTAAAGAATGATTTGTCAGTGTATTTTTAAATTCAATTACACCACGTAAAAGTCTAGAAAAAATTGAAGGAACGAGTGAAGATTTTTTGAAGAAGAAAATAAACATATCCCTAGTGTTCTTCAGAAAGTTCTTCTCAGTCTCACGAATCAAATAATTAGCAAAAGGACATTTAAGAAAGAGATAAAATTTAAACAATACTATTCTACCCCTTTGTCATTAGGTCAGTGCAATAAATTCATAACCATCAAGGATCCTTATCCAATCTAGTTAGCATGTAACACTTCATTTTAATTTATTTATAAATTTAAAAAATTAAAGCATACATTATTATAAAAAGGGCGGTGGAGGGTCATTGAACAATATATGTAGGTGTTTAGTAGAAAAGAAATATTTAAATGCGAGATAGCTTAATTGGTAAGAGCACCTAGTGTGCAGCCAGAAGGATCCGGGTTCGTGACCTGCTCTAAAAAAGAGTATATTTTTTTTGAAAATCAATCTGTGCATATCAAGCAATGTTTCCTTTTCTAATTTCCATATTATTACTTCATGTTGCAATAATGAATATGTAACAATTTAAGACCATTTTATTTCCTTCCCCCAAAAAGTAACATAAAATTAAAAAGATAATCCAAATTTTTATGAACCACTTTAATCACAAATTTATTTATATTTAAGTATCAATTAAAAATCATCAATTTATCAATAACATTGTCATAATAAAGATAATTATTTCATCAAGTAATGAAATTATCATCAATAATTATCGTATTTCAATTAAAAATAACATTAACGATAAAAGAACAACTTCTTGCAATTACTTGGACATTAAAGACATTCAAGTTAGGAATAAAAATGTCTAGAATTGATATCCTATGATGATATTAACTCACGAATTTTTTCTTAATTTTTACAGATACGGTAAATGGTAGGATGGACAACTGTGGAGGCGGTCAACGCCTGCCCCCAGATGGGGACGAGTTTCCCGCAGCTTATCAAGAATTTAGCGTTACTTCACAGCAGTACCAAGTGTTAGAGTCATCACGCAATAGTACTTTGACATCTGACAACGAAAGTGGAGGTTACAGTTACAAAAAAAGCACCAGTTTTCAAACAGAAAGTCGAATTTCTCAGTATATTATTCCTAGTGTCAAGGAAATGACAATCACTACAACTGAAGTAGTTGAGACTTTACCAGATGTTGAACGGAGAAATTTAAATCCTACTAATACATACTTAAGTAACTTTAGCAATAATAATAACAATAACAACAAGTCAAACAGTAGTAGTCCAATGCTTGTGTTGACAGAAAGAAAGATTGAGATTGCTGATTATTACACTAAAGATTCGAAAATCGAGATCGATACTTCTGAAAAAGATTATGTCGATTGTCCTCCTCCACCTTTGCCTCTGACAGATCCACCAAAGATGGAGAAACCTGTTCCACTCGGTAGGAGCATGTCAACTGACAGTTCATCGCGGAAGTTTTCGCTCAACGGAGATTGTCGACGTCAAGACGATAAATCCGAGAAATCGGTGAGGGATAAAATCGCTATGTTTTCATCTCAGAGCAATCTTGAGGCGCCACTCTTTCCAGCCAATCCGATCACGAGTATCGTGACAAACTTTAACAGACGACTCTCCAAGTACAAGTCCTCAGAAGATTTCTTTAGCGAGGAGAAAAGCTGCAGTCAAAAGGACAAATCGAAAGTATTTTCAGACCGTACAATCAGCTCTTGTGACTTAACAGAGTCTTCATCAAATAATAAATCTGATTTCCTTTATGAAAAATATGTTGATCGACCGCCAGTTCCAGTACGATCGACACCTTTAGAAGAGTTCAATAATAAATCTACTTTTAACTTAAGAAATGTTACATCTAACTCTGAGTCAACAACCCAGAAATCATCAAATTCAAGCTTTTTTGCTGACATTAAGCCAGTTGGGAATGGAATAAAAACACCAATCTCTTCTAGCACGTTGTCTTTATCTGATAAGAAAGAAGATGGAGTTCCAGTCACGAAAACGACAATGTCTTTAACGAGAGCAACAAGTTTCTCAGGAGGAGTTTGTTCTAACGGTGAACTCTCACCAATTAACAATGGTCAAATCTCCAGAGCTAATTCTGTTGCGTCCACGTTTAAACGTACGAGTGAGGATATGAGAAGAACAAGTCTGAATCAATTGATAGAACAAAGGAGAAAAAGTATTTCAAAATTGAGAGGACTTGTTATTCCAGAGAAAGATGCCGTTCTTGTTGATAAACCCATCATTGATTTACCGGAGATCAAATCTAGAGATTCTATTCTTGTACAACAGGTAATTGGTCAATTCATCCATGCTTTGTCTCTATAAATTTATTATTGATATAGATGTATTAATTATTTATGTGTAATATATCTCTTCTTTGTTCTTGGTTAAATATTTTTACAACAAAAGAAACGGACAGAAAAAATATTGACTGGAGACCGTTGTTTTCTTTTGATATTATTGATGCATGTAAATAAGTTCGAAACAAATTTTTTTTATTGCTTTTGGAATTTCACGAAATATTTGTTTTGAAATTTCTGCATTATCATCAGTGTTAATAATATTGGGATGTTTAAAAAAGTCCTAAACTTACTTTTCTTAAAAATTTTTTCATAATATTCAGAGAAATAATGACCACCTGTCATGACTACTTGGAGTATATTTTCAATAGATGATCTGTTTTTATTTCAAAATAAATATACATGACATGGTTTAAGTGTCAAAATTGGAAAAAGTGTTATCTTTACTTCCCATACTTTTTAAAGTGCTTTATTTGCTTGCTAGAAATATCACTCATAAATTATTAATCTCAAAAAATTTTACACTTTTTCTGTTCAATAAAATCCTTAATAAATTTTTAAATTTCCAATAGAATAAAAAAAAATGTATACATTTTAGAATAATTTTATTATAATAGTTTTAAGTCTAATATAACTCTAGCTAATTAATAATGAATTTTATGTAGATGCCGAAGGTCAACATCCAAGATAAGTGGGGCTCTCAATCTTCCTTGGCCAGTAATATAAGTACTTCAAGTGTTCCAGTGAAAACGACATCGTTTAAAATGCCAACTCCACAAATTCTTCCTAAATATTCACCCGCCTTCAAACGTAAGAGTCTCACAGTCTGTGGAACCACTAACATAAGCAGTACTTCATCTAATGCCCCAACTGCCAATTCTACAACTTCTACCAATCCTTCAACGCCAACTCAGCAGACGAGTCCTCCATCAACAAGTATTTCTACTGAAGCACCGAAGAGTCTTGAAAGTATCTGCAGTCCTACACGCTCAGACTATAGCTTTGAGTTCGTTCCATCCAGCTCTTCACCAGAAAATTTACGAAGCCGACCCAGAATTGGTCAAAAAAAACCTCGAGGTGATTATGATGATTCTGATAATGATTCAGCTGTTAGCAGCTCACAAAGCAGTATTTCACGAGGATTTAGTCCCCCTGCATCACCAGTACCATCAGAGAGATCGAATGTCTCATCAGAGAGATCTTATCCAATGTCATTAATCACCGAAATACCATCAAGGAATCATTTACTCAACGAAAGGTCACAATTCATGTCAAAACCATTGTCATACTCATCAGAAAAATATGGCGGATCCAACCGATCATTTAGTGACAGTAGCAGTGGTACAAATTCAAGTTCTAGATCTCCACCTTCGGAATATAATTCACGATATTCAGCTATTCCTCAGCGACAAACATTAAAACGATCAAGTAGTACTGAAACTAATTACAGTACTTCGTCAACTTTGACCTCTGGTTCACAAGCAAGTGCTGAGTCTTTGTCGAAAAGAGTCTTGAAACCGCAAAGTGTTGAAGCAATTAATAGAAAAAATATCTTAGCCAGTGCTAGATGTAGAAGTGGACAAAATTTAAGTGGATCGCCATTAATTCAAAGAAAGTTTACTGATGATGAAGAGGCTACTACTTTCGGAGAGAAAAATGGTAAATGTATGTACGAAAGAATGAATAGTAATGAAAATTTATCCAATAATAGCAACATTAAGGTAGCGTATGTTGATATGATTGATAACTATGACGATATCAAAGAAATTGATAAATCGTCGTCAATTAAACTACCGCTTAAGTCTGATATTATAACATCTTCTAATGACCTCAAAATGTGGGTTCGTGCGGAAGCTAAAGCATTGTTAGGAAAAAATTCCAATCAAACAAATGGGAATGATTTTCATTCAGAAAAGGATGCTCACTCTTCCCAAATAGAATCATGTTCAATTGTGAATGAATCTAAGAGTTCAAATGGTAATGGTTATAATGAATCTGTTGAGAGTGAAAGTATCAAGTCAATAAAAACTCAAAATGATGATCTTCTAGCTACTCTAACTACAAAGACACGCTCAAGAGCACCCATTAATTTCGAAGACGAAGCTATTTTTCGATCTAAGAATCAAATGAGTCTAGAAGATATTTTAACTGGAAAAATAGATCCTCAAATTCATCATGAATCTCAATTTTTTTCGGGAAAATATCAAGAAAATGCTTATTCGCGTGATTCTAAGATTTCTATGAGGTCAAGTTCAAAGGCAAATGAATTTTTAGCTGAAGAAAAAACTTTTGTGTCCAAAATTCCAACATATGGAAGATCAAAGATGAATGAAAGTATAGAAGAGAATGGTAGTATTACTGAAAGATCTAGAAATTCAAAGATCCCACTCCAAAAACCTCTTGGAAGACGAAGTGCCAGCGTGACAGATATGAAAAAAGCAATAGATAAATCAGATTACTTAGTAAATCATTACTCAAACAATGCTTCAAATCAACACCAGCGATTTTCAAGTTTAGACAGTAATGTTGAAGATCCAAGACCAGTTAATGGAGTTAATGGAGAAAATGATGCTGAAAAATATTTTGGAGAACAATTTGGAAGTATTAGCTCACTTGCAAGCAGTACTAGTTTAATATCTCAACAGGAATTGGCTCAACTAGTTGAAGAGGCCAGTTTAGAAGATAGTAAAGGTCCTCATGAAGTTGTTGTTGTTCTTCTCCATAAAGATAACCCTACTGGAAGTGTGGGCATTACATTAGCTGGTGGAGTAGATTGTGAAGCTAAAGAGATTACAGTGCATAGAGTTCTAGCACACTCTATTGCTGATAAAGACGGTAGAGTACAGCGTGGCGATAGAATTCTTAGTATTAATGGAAAAAGCACTCGGGGACTTAGTCATAAAGAAAGCCTTGCTATTCTGAAACAACCCAGATCTGAGGTTGTCATGGTTGTGTCCAGGGCAAGAATTGATGATGGAAACAGAATCAAAACGAGGACTGAAAGTGTAGAAACCGTTGTAGAAGGTAAGAAATTATTCATATTTTATTTTTAATTTTCTATCTGTACATAAAAGTCATTGCCATTTGGAAAAAAATACTCTTTGCCATTTTTTAATGTAAACATATAACTTAAATAATTTATTTTCAAATAGAATATTTAAATAGATTCTTAAAGAAGAAGAGCAAAAAAACTCATGTGAATTAGTTAAAATTTCAAATGTCCTAGATACAAAAAACCTCTATTTACAGTTTTCCGTAATTTATAGTCAATAATTAAATAAAATATTCATATTTTGATTAGGACTTGCACTCAATGGAGCTGATGATACAGCATGGGGTCCTCCAACGCGAGTTGTAATTTATAAAGGTGGAGCTGGACTTGGATTCAGTTTAGAAGGAGGCAGAGATAGTCCGGTTGGAGACAGACCATTAGTCATTAAAAAAATATTTACTGGTAATTTATATTAAATAATTAATTCTTTTAACTTTAAAAGTTTTTACTAAATGAATCATTATCATAATACATTAATTTTACGGGATTTTTGAATTTTATTATTTATAATGATTAAATGAATATCACTGAATATAATGATAATAAAGAAGAAAAAAATTTTGCAGGCGGTGCTGCTGAAAAAACAGGTGCCTTAACAGCAGGAGATCAGTTACTTGAGGTTAATGGAACTGATGTAACGCGTATGTCAAGAATAGAAGCATGGTCTCTCATGAAGAAGCTACACAATGGAGAAGTGAATCTCCTAGTCAGACACCCTGCCATTAAGTCGTCGTGAATAGTAGTCAATTGTCATAGGCGTTAAATTAGCAAGTAATACAGCTGTTTAGCTTTACGATTCAAATTATTGTAAATATCTTTTTCTAGAACGTTTCAATATGAATTAACAAATGGTTCACAGTGATTAATGTCTGGGAAATTTGCCTTGCAATCATTATTCACTGTAATAACTTAGACTGCTCATCTGAAAGATGCTTGCGCAACAATTCTTAGTAATGAAGTAAAAGAAATTGCTAATAATTGTCTTCATTGACCACTCTGTGAATCCAATGGCGTATTGAAGATACGTCGTACAAGATTTATATCTTATATTGAATATAAAAAAAAATATAAATAAAAGTTTTTTTTGCTAAACGATAGTTTATATCTATCGATAATTTTCTATCGGTGTATTGACAGTGCAATATCATTAAGGCATTAAAAGGCTTTTAGTAGACTCAATAATTATTATTTTTGCGAAAATATTTTTAGAAAAATTTTTAAAGAGTATGAAAAAATGAAATAACTAATTAGTGAAATTGTATATATAAACGCCAATTAACAAGCACGAGTCGAGAGATGAGGAGTAAAAAGCAAAAAATGATTGATAAAAATATGCAAAGATAATATAAAAAACTATTTACATAAATATAGATATATATTATTGGAATAAAAATAAATATTTAAATTAAATTTTAATTTTCAATTGTTTTTTTTTTGTTTGGAGTTTTGTTTTACTATCGTGCTGTGATAAATGTGGCGAAATCAACGAATTTGCTAAAAAAATAAAATTTCTGCTAACTTAAGTTGACGCGCATATACTTACTCTAAATGATGTTTAAATGCTTTTCTTAGTGGATTATTTTATATTCACCTTCTAATGAGATTAAATTGTATTGATGTTGTTTAATAAAAGTCATTTTTACTTCTTCAACTTGTTCCTATTTACAAATTTTAATTCTAAATTCTAACTAATACATAAATGTTTCACAATCATTACCTTAATAAACTTAGAAATAATTTTTAGTAGACAAATCTACCCATGTTATTGTAGAACGGTTCTAATACCAATAAGTTTTGGCGGGAATTCGATCTTCCTTGATTCCCATTTTATCCATAATATCCATTTCGAACGTTTTCAATGCCGGCTAAAAATAACAATTTTATTTACATTTTAGATTATTTATAATTCAGTAATAAATCAAGAGCTTGAATAAATTAGTGTTAAATACCATAAAATATTTAATGTAAAAAAAATCTATCTATTGAGAATGATGAATATTTATAATATCCTAGAGATTTCTTTCCAAAATTAATATTTATGTTCAGGAAAAATTTTGCTCTTTTTAAGCTTTAAAAAATTATATGTTATAGAACTGTTGTCAGAATATTTATGATATAAAAATATTCAAAAGACAAGTAAAGTATAGTAGTGAAGAATACCAATAAGAGTGTATTTCTTTATAATGTGTAAAAATAAGCTTAGTTGTAGCAATATTATTACCCAAAAAGTAATTTGAGTATTTTTTCATCACTTAAATGCTTTAGGTTCTCTGATATTCCAAATTTGTCAAATAAATATCTATTAAATACTATAATTGGCAATCTAATTTTCTTAAAATTTTAAAATTTCTATAAATACATTGCAGCTAAACTTATCCATTTTTTAAATCGTCAGTAAAACTTGTTATTGTTGAATTTTTTATTTTTGATTACTTTGTAAATAAAATATACCTTGAACGTGATTTCTTCAACAACTTTTTTCGGTGTATCCTTTGGCGTTTCTCTATAAACTTCAGGAGATTTATAATCAATCGTTTCTTCATGACTTATTGGAATTGGAATTATTCTTCCAGTTCTCTTGGAAACACGAACTTGTTCTCCCTCATCATTATATCTCCATACAACAGCGGTTGGTTGTCTATAAAACAAGAATCGATGAAAAAATATCTGTCGAGCTCATCAAAATAAACTATAATAACAAAATAATTACTTACAAATCACTAGGATCTACTAGAGCTACTTCTGTAGTTACCAGAAGTGGTTGTTCTTCTAACATAACTATGCCTGGAAAATTTTTAGTTTTACCATGAATAATAAGTTTGGTATTGAGACCAGTTACAGTGACCCAATTTCTTTCTTGGAAAATTTGTGAAACGAAACCATGTTTTCCTTTATCACGTCCAACCAATATTTCAACCTAAAAAATTATTTATTAAATATTTAATAATGCAAATTAATCGAACAATTCTTAAAATAAAATAATTAATAGATCATACTCTATCTCCTCTGAAAAAACTCCAGTGTAAAATTGGTTCAACCCAAACTTTTTTAACTTTTTTTCCCGGTGCATTTTCGAAATAAAATTCATTGGTCCATGGTCGGTTTGTTGTAAAAATCCATTCTTTTCTCTGTATTTTTGTAGGTAGATAACGTTTATCATTAGGAGCTTCCCAATAAACCTAGAATGTTGTAAAATTATTTTAGAGATTGAAGAAAACATTTTTTCTATCTCTTTTAATAATAAATGTATGTAATGATCAATCATATTCTATTATATTATTTGTCTAATGAAGTTTAATCACACTTGTCAAAAAAATAATTTAAATAAAGAAATATCACATGGAATATTCGCTATCAGTATGAAAAGTGTAATAGGTATGAATACCTGCTCCATAGCACGTTTAATGTATCGATCCGGCAAATTTCCATATTTCTTGGAATATTCTCCAATAAGTTTCAAAACTGAGTATCCTGTTCGATATCTCATTTTGACAATCAATGAAATCAATCAGTATTCTAAAAGTTATTAGTACGAAAATCAACACAAATTTGCACTTATGTGCCTAACCTTTGCACAACATGCACACCGACCGACGGCTGCCGGTAGTTAAAGTCCTTTAAGATAGAGTCTGGCAAGATGAAGTTAGGCAGGACTAAAGTCTCTCAAGTTCTTATGAGACTTTAGGCAGGAATTGAGCAATATGGCGCTGTCTTGCCAGACTCGGTTTTGCGGGACTCTACCGGTAGTTAGATACTACTGCCCTCTACAATTACACTTTACAGAAGCGCCAAAAATTTGAACAATGAAGTTATAGAATATTTTTATTGATTGTAAAAAAAAGATTTGAATTACTTCAAAATTATTTATTGAATAAAAATTTATCGTTATAAAGTCGCTGTCCCAACTGTCACTCATAAATCTTATTCTTTTTAGTGATCAAACAATTGTGTGGTTTTGAGCTGAATAAATTATATATTTCATTTAGAGCTGCAACATAATATTATAATTATTATGTTTCTTTATATTAACACTTCTTTTGTAATCATGAAAATAATTCTCTAATCATGGAATTAGCATTATCATCACTAAAATCTATATTGTTACGATGGTAAAATATTTTTTTATGACTTTTATTTTTAGCATAAAATAAACAAAAAATAGGTCTGAGCCCACTTTGTGCTAACACGACAAACTTCCCATTAGGAATTGTTTATAACAAATTCATATTGTTATAAACAATGCGTAATTGTTAAGAGTCATATTTGGTTGTGAACAATAATGTCTAGTCAATATCGACTTAATTTTCAAATGAAATTGTTATTGTTTGGCTTAAAAGTATTTTAAATAGCTAATCTTTTCATTTTTTTATTAGTTATTTTGTTATTAAAAAAAAAACGGCTCGATCGAATTCGTTCAAATTTCTTTTAAGTCTTCTTTATAATAATATCTTTCGAATTAATTTTGGTTGAAGTCGATATCTCAATTTGTTCTTGAGATATCGAAAACGAAAAAATGCTGACGTCCGTACATACATACATACATACACATCATTCTAAAAATATGTCAGTATGCTTGCAAATATTTTAAAACGTGGAGATTTAATGAAAATTCAAATTTCACTAATTGACCCAATTACAATAACTTCCTAATGGGAAGTTAATAAAAGTGTATTAAAAATTTTTTGAACCCTCATAAAATCATTATCGTTCAGTTTTTTTATATAACTCAGTTATTTAAACCAACTGGTTAGAAAATATTATATAGTAATTCAATAGCTACTTAAAACACCTTTAATGCGATCAGGTAGAACGTGATAAAATCGAATTCGATCTGAAATATGATTATGAATAATAAAATGTGATTGTTATACTGAAACAATAGTCTTATATTTATTATTTAAGATAATACAAAAATTAAGAACAGTAAGTGTTCATAGGTAAGAATAATTTAACCATCAGACATATTTTTCAAACATATTTCCAACAAATAAAATAATTTTAAATCAATTTAAATAAAGTATTAATGGAGTCGACTATTTACCTAGTTAGAGATGAATTGAAAATCAAAATTTAATCGTTATTTTAATTAAAAAATATGCAATTAATGAATGCTTTGTTTAATTTTATTGTATTATATTTCAATTGAAATGAGAATTTTATCAAAATGATGTATGAAATTGAAATAACTGCGTATTGACTTACCAAATGCCGATGACTTTAAAGATTTATTTATTAATTTATAATGAATTAAAAATAAATATTGAAATTAATATCTATGTAAACACAATAATCAATTCAAAAATTCAATATAAATATTTTGAAGATCAATTTTAAAATGTACAACTAAGATATCTTAGTTTAATTCTCAAGAAGAAGTTCAATAAATAACTTTTTGGAGTGTTGTGAGTTTTAATGAACAGATGATTCAGAAACAGAGCTCTGTTCAATAAAATAAACAATTCTTTTATACATAATTTTTAAGTTCCAATATACAATGAAGTATTACAATAAAAACAAAATATTTTCATTCGACTTACCGCAATTTCATGATATGATTTCGATTTAAAATTGAAAAAACAATAAAATAATTGCATCTTATTTGTTTATTTATTTATGTAAACAAGTATTACTGAATATAACATTAGTATTTCCAAAGTTTATTAAATAAATTTAAATATTAAACAAATTGTTATTGTATTAATTTTTACACGCATCACATCATCAGTTCCAATCTTCTTATGTATAATCTGAGAGTGATGATAATTAGCTCTAAAACATGATTCACAATTTTTTTATAATTAAATAACTTGTCAACAATTACATTAAAAATAAATAAGATCTTTTAACATCCATTCATGTCTAATTATAATTAGACATGAATATAATTATATACATTTTTTCTGTTTAGGTATTGATAGTAATTTTTTTCACATTATAATTAAAAAATAAAACTGCCTTCATTTACAGATTGTTACTTTGTTGCAGCTTGAGATTGATCTTGCTCTGTTTACATACTTTTTCAGTAGACACAACATTTGTATTATACTCAGACTGTTGGAAAAACAGACCAACCATCAATCTGCGCAGCGATAGAATATTTTTTTTAGTATCACATGTGATAAAATTTATGGAAATAGATTTGATTTTTTATTTTCGATTATTATAATACTTCACCGTTATCGTTACTTTTAAAAGAAAAATTTTTTACGGATAAAATTTTAATGAAGAATCGATTAATTTATAAAATTAACAATCATAGTAATGACTTAATAATGGGGTTCCAAACGAAAATTGCTCCAAAAAATTTTTTATGCATTTGGAGTTATTTCTGAAGGTACAAATAATAAATTTAAGGCGAAGGAGACATATTATTAATAGCAATTGCTATTTCTTCATACATTACATGGTATCAATTAAATATGATAAATCAATGAATGTTACTGAAATCGTTGATCGTAAATTTCCGAACGTGGCTAAAGAAAGCAAAGGAGGGGGGAGTGTTGAAAGAGCATAAATAATTTTGTAACTTAAAAAACATTTATGTTCTTTTAACGTCCCCCTCGCCTCACCTCACCTTCCATCCTTCTTTAAAAAGTGTCTCCGTCACCTTTAAATATCTAATTTTACATAACAAAATAGTTTTCAAGAGATGAAAAATTTTTTGGAGCGATTTTTGTCTGGAGCCTCAATTCTAAATAATTACTACGATCATTTCTAAGAATGGAGTGATTTTAAAAAAAGTAAATAAAATGCAATGATTTAAATAGCGGACATTTTTGATGTTTCATATGTTCATGTCTCATATTATATATCATCACCTATAAGTCTTTTATCGTATTTCCGGGCGTTATTATGTCTAACATTGGCTTAAATGATGTAAACATGGAGAATATAACAATGTTATATTCTCCATGGATGTAAATAAATACCCTATATCTTAGTTCGTCATCAGGCATTTCAATTCAATACTTGAAGTGTCTCAGTTTATTAATCGTCTTAGTGGTTTAGTTCTTAGGACGATTCAGATGTGAAGAGAACTGTAAGAAAGTTTTTTAAATTCATTTTTTCCTTTGATTTATTCCAACTTTCATTGTTATGTTGCATTATCGGTAAGCTGAATGTAACATCATGTTTTTAAAAATGACATTATGCTCGCTTACCGTTCAATGTGGCATATAAAATTTCATCAGCGACAAAATTTTCAATTTGTTAAACTTTATTTTTGAAGAAAAATAATTAGAATTTAGTGTACTTTGTGCTAAACAATTCCTATATTCGAGCATAATATCGTGTCAGTTGAACAGAGATTATGCTCCAATATTAGGGTATTGTGAAGCAGATATATCAGCAAATGAAAGGATTCGTGATATGACACAGTGATGCATAAATCAGATTGATTTTTTTACAGATTAAAAAGTGTGATTAAGTCAATTTAAACATTATCTTAAGGTAATATATATTATTTTTTTAAATTTATGCTTTTATTAGAATAAGAACGAATAACTTTTGGCTAAAATATTCGTGACTGGGAAGAGAAAATTATAAGGTAAGTTTTTATTTTTTTATTTAGTGAACATTTTTTTTAGAGATAATATTTATTGGAGTTTATTTTAAAAGTAGATTTAAAAAATCGTTATCCCTTTTTTTTTCTTTTAAATCTAAATTTGTTTATTAGAAATTTTTTTTTTTCTTCTAATTTCAGAATGTCAATTGGCTTCGTTCACTAGAACCTCGTGTTCTTACAGAGAAGTTTGCTGCAATTTTGTTCAAAGCCTGAGGGAAAATATTTAAGAAGATGTTGAGTAAACAAAATGATTTAATATTATAATGAGTTCTGTAGTAGGAATGTTTCTTCTCAAAAGAGAACTATTTCAACACTCTATAATAATTTAATTAGAATTAATAATAATATCATTTGAAATATTAATTCAACCTTTTTAATATGAATCCTAAATTTGATCACTCAAATCTAATATCCATCAATGCTCCCCGGGGAGAAAGCAATTGTAAATTTCACTCTAATAAATCTATTTACAGCTGTCGCTTCGGGTACAAAAATAACCATAAGCAATTGTTTAATTAGTATAAATTACAATTTTTTCTTGTAACAATTTTATTACACACTCCAATTGTAATATTTTATATTTATTTTCATATAATTCACAATTTTGATTTATAATAAAATTTTTACAAGACCAAATTGTAATGTATACTAATTAAATAATTGCTTATTGCTATTTTTATAACCGGACTACTATTTATTGGAGTAAAATTTACAATTCCTTTCTCTCTGTGTCTCATTAATCAATGACTCTATCACTTTTCGTTCTTCATAGACAATGTGTTTCATTTTTTTTATCTTCAATAGTATCCTTCATATTTCCTTTAACTACCTGATCTATTTATTTATCTGTTTGAAATACTATCAAAAAAAATAGTTTATAGATTATCAATAATCAATTTACTTGGCAAAAATCTCAATTTATTAAATTTGCCTTTCTATGAAATTCAGGATCAATTATTCAATAATTATGTTGGAGTTTTTGAGCTTGATCTCTTGTTTTGGATTCAATAACTGATAGCGTTGAATTTTCGACACATGTATATTCTTCATCAGTACCACTATCGTATGGTATTCATTCTTCTTCTCTTTCCTAGATGAAACTTCATGCGCTTCAATAGCTTTCAATTTTGACATTTTTATTTTTTTTATGATACATTTCAATTCATAATTATTTGTAAATTACAATTAAAGTCATAACAATACTTTTTGCACTATTTTATCATGTTTAGATAATAGAAATAATAAATTAATTGCATTAAATGGTTCATAAGATTGACTCTCTATAAATAAATTTTAACTTTAATATTTCTTCATGTTAAGTATTTTGATGAAAATCAACATCTAGTTATAAAAATTTTTATAACATGCATGTCGCATTGTTCATAATTTCATAGGAACTGCTTGAGCCTAGCAGTTATTTTCAGCCTATTTGAATATTTTACTGTTTTTTAACTTCTTCATGAAAAAAATACTTCAGTTAGGAAGCTTTTTAAGTTTAAAGCCCTTAATTTTCTTTAGTTAATTCTTTTTACAACTTTAAATAAATCTATTTTTATATATTTAATGATTGTTCTGCACGAATAAAACAGTATTGTATCTTACGTAGGAGGTACTCTTAGTGTCAGACAAAAGGATAGCACTCGTTTTAGCGCCAGTTCAATTATAGCCTTAATTTCAAAATTAATAAAAAAAAAACAAAATACACGAAATTTTGAAATAAAATTATATACTTCCTGATATTAAATTTCAATTTTATAAATAATTTTATGAAGCTAAAAATAATTATTTCTTTCAATTAAAATAATAGAAAATACTTTAAAATAATAAAAATGAAGGAATTAAAAAATTTATTTTATCAGTATTAATATGAAAATAAAAAGGATCGATATGTATAACGAATTACAGAAGCAAGTATTTGAATAAACTGCTGCAGTGTCCTTGGTACACATTTGTTCTCACTAAATAATTCAGAAATTGCCATAAACAAGTATTTTCAAACTATAAACATTTTTTACTCACCTTCTATTTCAATAATTTCTTCATTTTCTTTTTCAAAATAATTTTAAAAAATGAAAATATTTTTCATATTTACATTTTTAAAAATCAATCTAGTAATTAGCTGAATTATTATTAAAATGAATGATGAAGATGGTAAAATTTTGATAGCTCAAAATTTGATACCGGAAGTCAGTAGGTTTATAAAAGCAGTTAATTAGTAAGCACAATATATGTCATGTAGATAAAATAGTCTATAAATTAAAGTATAAAAGTTGTCACTGTTTAATGCAAAGCAATGTGGTAATTATATTTAACAAATCATGTATTTCATATAGACACGGTAACTGGCACAGTATGTACCTGCTTCTATTTTAGGTATAATGCCGTGATTTTCAAACAATATGGATACGCGTTTAACGTAGTCATGATCGTGACGTTCTCTAATTATAACAGCACTTTCCTTAAATGTCTCTTGTATTGCTTCAACTGCTTCAGTTAACCAGTAGTTTTCAAGCTCAAAACAATGTTTTGAACTTTACCTACAACTTCATCACGTGTTTCAGCCCAAAATAAAATAGTCTGTTGCGCGTATCACTTCAAGATGATTTGAAAATAATTGAAAGTCAATAGACTCCGTGTCAATATTATCATTTTATTATTTTCATTTGTAAGGTGCTTTATGAGATCATAATGTAATATATTTTTTTACCATCTTCAATCCCGATGAACGATGCACCTTAACAATGGTGAATGACACTTATTGAGTTGGTTCAGTTGAAAATAAATATTATGAAGGTAAAGGTGTTAAATTTTTATAAGGAGGATTTATCAATTTTTGTTTTATTCTAATATGCATGCATATCTGCCAATGTTTAGGAATTTCAAAGTAAATTAATGGCCATGGAAGAATTTGATCGAAGCGAGTATGTTTTCAACAAAGATCGAATATCTAAGAGAAAATTTTGTTGATGATTTATAAGGTAAGAGGTGTGATGTAAATTATACATGTTATTCACAATAAATTTATTTTAGGTGTTTATACAGGAAAAATGGACGAGGAAAATAATAATATTGATAATAATAAATCACCATTGAAGAAGAAAAATAAAAAAAAGTGAGTATATTTTTTGTTGAAAGGGTTTCACCTTTATAATTATTGAACTTGGAAAAATGATTAAATATACTGAACGAAAAAATTAGAAAATCCTAGTAATATTGAATACTTGATAATAAGGAGGATATTGGAAATTTTATTTTTCTAATTTTTATATTGAATAAAATTTGTCATAATCTTGAGGTTCAATCAATTCATAAATCTTATATTTTCTTATACTCCATTTATCATTTAAGGCGCCTCGAACGGAAAAATATAGGTATATAAAAGTATATGGACCTTTGCGCATTAGTTTTAGGCAAATAAGTAGATAAAATAATGAAATACCTACAGGAAAAGATTCGCGCAACAACAATCTATGGAATGAAACGAGATGAGGACGATTGGTTGAAGAATAAGCAAAATATCCGAAATTAAAAGTCTAAAGCGATTTGACAGATTATTTTTCATATTTCTAACTCCAACTTGTTTACATATGGCCGACCAAAATCTGTCAAATCGCTTTAGACTTTTAATTTCGGATATTTTGCTTATTCTTCAACCAATCGTCCTCATCTCGTTTTATTCCATAGATTGTTGTTGCGCGAATCTTTTCCTGTAGGTATTTCATTGCCTAAAACTAGTGCGCAAAGGTCCATATACTTTTATATACCTATATTTTTCCGTTCGAGGCGCCTTAATATTGTAAATTAATGTAAATTAAAGTAATGCATATTAAGTTGATTCAATATTAAGAATTCATGTACGAACTATTGCATTTTGTAGTTACTTTTTACTCAATTTAAAGTATTAAAGGTATTTAAGGAAGTATGGTAAATTCTGTAATTTAATATTGAACACACTTCATGCGAGTTGTTTTAACATAGTTTGAAAATCTTTGAGTAATGGGAAATTATTATTAAAAATATATATATGCATATAAATTTTTGCTCAACGTTTTATTTTGTTATACAGAAAAGACTGGGACAAAATGAAACGTTGAATTTATTATGATCAAAATAGCTATTGATCATTTTCTTGGTTTACAGTTTAAAAAATATTTCTAGGAAATATACTCAAAGAATGTGAAATAAAAGATCTAAATTAAATTGAGTAAATGCTATTTGAAAATTTTATTTCAATTTCTGTAGACTTCAAAAGAAAAAATGAATTCTTAAATTAAACACTGAATTGAATAATTTTAAAAGAGATTTGACATTTCTTTTTAGATTTTTGACAATTTGTACCAGCAATTGTCAATATGACATAGTAAGACGCGTGGCTGCACGTTTTGGAATGAAAGAAGTATCAGAAGAAAGTAATTGGAATTTATATTGGACAGACATGAGTATTGGTATTGAACGTGCAAAAGATATGAAAAGATTTCAAAAAATCAATCACTTCCCAGGCATGACTGAAATATGTAGAAAAGATTTACTTGCTCGTAATCTCAATCGTATGTTAAAATTATTCCCGAAAGATTACAATTTTTTTCCAAAAACATGGTGTCTTCCGGCAGCGTACGGTTATTGATCGCATTAATAATAGTGGTATAATTTTAGTTACAGTAACTTATAATTTTCTTTATTTAGGTATGGAGAATTTGCTGCCTACGCAAAAAAACGAAAGTTCAAAACTTTTATTATTAAACCAGAATCAGGATGTCAGGGTCGAGGAATTTATTTAACAAAAAATATGAAAGAAATTAAACCACAAGATCGAAATATTTGTCAAGTTTACTTATCAAAAGTATATCATTAATTCAAAATTAATTGTATCAAATATGCCTCATTATTTTTTTTTTTTTTGCTTCGTAAAGTGATAAAAAGATAAAATAATTTGTTAAGTAACAAGTTGAAAATTGATTGATTTTTAAATTACAAATTTCATTGTTAATTAATAATCAATCAAAAGTTAATGATTTGTACAAAAAAATGAGTGATTTATAAAATTACAAATTATTTCATTATACTAATGATTAATAGATACTTGCAGATTATTAAATAATTCAATAATGATTAATGTTGCAGCCTTTTTTACTAGATGGATTCAAGTTTGATTTACGAGTGTACGTGTTGATTACATCATGTGACCCATTAAGAATTTACGTTTACAATGATGGACTGGTTAGGTATAGTTCAACTCTCATTTATTTAATACATTCTGAATTGATGTCTTATCAAATTAACTTCATATTTTTAATTAAAAATTTAATTAAAAACTGCTCAACTTTTAATTAGAATTTAATTGAAACCAATTGAGCAAGACTACAAATGTTATTTTGGCTTTTATGTTTTACAGATTTGCAACATGTCGCTATAAAGAACCAACAAATCAGAATACATCCAATGTTTTCATGCACCTGACCAATTATTCTGTAAATAAACACAGCAGGATGTATATCTCCGATGAAGAGGCTGGTAGCAAAAGGAAAATTTCCCATCTAAATAAATGGTTGAAGAACCATGACATTGATATTAATAAACTTTGGCGTAAAATCGATGAGATGATTGTTAAAACTATCCTGTCGGCTTACCCTGTTCTGAAACACAGTTACCATACATGTTTTTCTATGCACAATATAACTCATGCCTGCTTTGAAATTTTGGGTTTTGATATCCTAATCGATTGGAAGATGAAACCTTTCTTATTGGAAGTCAATCATTCACCAAGTTTTCATACAGATGCACCAATTGATAAGGATGTCAAAGAATCATTACTAATGGATACATTTCAGTTACTGAATTTCAATGAATGTGATAAAAAAAAAATCCTGGAAGAAGATAGACAACGAGTTAGAGATAGGCTATTGCAGGGAATTAATATCAAGGATTCTAGGTAGATAAAAAGTCGTTAAATGTAAATCAAGTTTGTGGTTAGTGAATGTAGATTATTATAAAAATTGAAAATAGCACGAATGATTCTGTAGATGGAACGAAGGCATCAAATGAGGTTTTTCGAGAGCAGTTTAAATGGGAAGATCAGCACATGGGGAATTTCAGGAGGATATATCCTTGCTTTGATGATGATAAATATCAATCATTTTTTATACAAGGTATTGCATCAATTTATCAAAATACCTTGAGTTCTAAAGCACGTCGAGAAGAAATTGCGAAAACTCATCGAGAAGATACCATAGTAAGTTTTTTTTTATATTAATTAATTTATTATTATTTATTATATCGTTTACCCTTATTGTAGAATTATTCGAAAGAAGATGGAAATAAAAAATTAAATTCAAAGCTGGATAATTTAAAAGTTGCTTTAGAAAGTCCAAATGAAGTGAAGAAAAATAATCCAAGTTCTTTGAAGAAAAATATTAATAAGTTTAATATTCCTTTAATTCCTTCCAAAAAGTCGAATACTTTGGTAAGTTAATTTTTATTTATGATAAATTAAACTAAACTATTAGCAATGTTATCTTGCCATTAATTTTATAAACATTGTTAAATAAAATTAAACGAGTCTTAATAATAATTTTAATAATTAAAATACTTGATTTTATTTTTCATTTTGATTTTTTTTACGTCTACTTTTCGATTTCCATGTTCATTTGTTTATATTCTTTAATTATCACAAATTGAAAATAGAAAAGGTATGATTGACTTTGTTACAATTACAGATTGAACAATCAAAAAGTTCTTTATCTTCATCTAGTAGGAATGCATCTTCATTATTTACACCAAGTCCTATAAATGAATTTGAAGAGAAAGAACGTAGATCCTCACTAGCAGAACGAGACTTTATAATTAAAAATAGTGGAATCATTGAATTAATATATTCAGCAATGAAGAAAAATGGTTCTTTAAGACCAAGTGATATAAAAAAATATGGGCTTTATTATAAATTAGATGAAACTCTTGAATTACCTGAAAGCTTGCACGATTATCAGAAGAAACTTTATCCACATAACTTAACAGGTATTGAATCTGACAAAAAAAGATTTGAATCTATGAATAAAGAAGACTCCAACGCAAAAAATTTTCAACTATTATGAATACTAGCGAAATTATTTAAATAAATAAAATCTATTTACTTCATAATTTATTTTTATATTCATTGAAAAATTGAATTGAGGAACTTTTTGCTCAATAATTCTATGCATAAGCTTTGTGCTAACAAATTATAATCAACTTTACATATCCCTAGAGGAGTAATGGAGCAAGTATTTATGTTATATTAATGATTGAGACTCAAAATAAGAGTACTTGTCTCTATATTTACAGACCAATTTTAAAAGTTTAATTAATTCTTAATCTATTTTTGCTGTATAAGTATACAACATTTACATTGTACTTATATTATAAATAAAAACTTATCTAATTCTTTGATCAATAAATAAACTTTATTAACAATCTTGAATCAAAATGATATTATATTGTGATGAATATAGATTAGGCTCTTGTAATTTTCTTCAGAAGAACATGTGTTTTAAGAACACATTCATCACTTGGAAAAACATATAAATTTAGTAAATATAAACGAGTAGCAGAAACAATCGAATTTTTATGCAATCGAGACCATTCATTATGATAATACTTGTAATTTTGTAATACTTTTGATATCTAACGTTTATACCAATCTTCTTAGAAACTCAAATTATTATTGAGAACAACATTCCATTATTAAATATTCATGAATATTTTTATAGGCTTTTATCTGGCTATAAATTGCATATTTAATTGTCATCTGCATTAAATATTAATGAATAAATTTGGTCAATTTTCAACTTGGTGCGAAGTTTTACTAACATCTATGCACGGAGAAAATTTTTTCACTAAATCTAAGTTCAAAAAGTGACAAGCGCACGTTTCGAAATTTATAAGTAAAAATTTTTTGTTCAACAGTGAATTTTGGGTTGTTTTAAGTAATTTTTGAGTTATTTCAAATAATTGTATTACTAAAACACGTCTTTAGTATCAAGTTTACTTACAAGAACTTCAAATTTACTATCGAACAGAAATATTTGAAATAGATAAAATAATACTGTACTAATAGGGCTTTTCATACTGCTCTTGAATTATCAACCGTTTCCGAGATTACCCCAAACAGACAGACAGAAAATTCTAAAAATAGTCATTTACGTTTTAACAGCATGCAAATAACCCTCTGAGCTTAGTTTGAGGCAGGTTTTTTTCAAATCACAGACAAAAACTTTAATTTTATTTACATAAATAACGCACACACACACAAGGATAACCGAAGCAAATTATTTAATAATAATTATTACTTAAATTAACTACTACGATTGAAATTTCGATTTCTCACTACATTCGATACTTGTTTATTAATAGAAATTTAGGTAATTATGTATTTCAGCCTTCTCACTCTCCTCCCTCCACATCCTGGACAGGCCTACTTTTTCAGAAATAAACAACTTAATAATTTATTTGATTTTTCTTTATTCTTCATCATTCTACAATATTTTTTAAATTACTTTTTCACTTGATGCTATATTATGCTATATCAGTTATTATAAAATTTGTGCGAAGCGAGTACATCAGTGTATAGTGAAAATTGAAGAAAACGAAAAATTTATTCATCATGTCTAGTCATAATAACATGATAGTTATTTCGTTCCGTTTCAGCGAAGATTTGAATATTATATAGAAATCTACAAAAGATTATCTGGGAAATTCTTCTAAAGAAAATCATATTTCTAATGCAAGTTTCAAATACATTTTGATACATTTTTTTCTTAACTTTTTGCGGAGATTGTCTAACCTAGAGTTCAATTTCATCGATCTCTGCTTTGTCATTTTTTTTTCAGTTCCATGCTTTATATTTTTATGTTTTAATGATAAATTTTTTAATTTTCGTAATCGATAAACTATAATTTCACCGATGAAACATATTATCGCGGTGATCCATCCTGAAATCAAGAAGATCATTAGCGGCATCATAGACTTTATATTGATTGGTCTATTGACACCTTTAATCAATGACATTGACTCTAATCGATCAATACCTTTCCGCAAGTTTTTAGTTACAAATTTTTCACGTTGATCAGTAAATCCTAATTCATGATGCAAGATTAGTAATTTATTTATTCGCTCATTCAAAGGGTTTTCTTTACGCAACATATATGAAAATGGCCGAACTGCAAATGGTTCTTTACTAACGTACACATCCTCATCTAAACAACGGATCAAAAATGCACCCACATTAAAAGCAATGTCCACCAAAGCAGTAGATTTATCGTTTTTGAAAATACGCAGCGCTGTGTTTAAAGTCAGTACCTTATAAGACTTATTTGATACTTTTTCATTTGCCATCAATGCTTTTTTGTTAGTTGCGTACAAGATTGTTCCATACAGCGGAGATTCTAAATCATCCAAAGTATCAGCATTTTTTTTGGTCGATGGATTTGTAAGAAATCCTGCTAATTTTCCTTGGAACAATGATTGTATGATCACAATGTAGAAAAGAATCATTAGGAAAAATATTTTTAATGTCAAAGTGTTCATATTAGTTCTGATAGATGAACTTATCAAAAGTCTGATAACTTCGAATATCGCAAATGCTGTTCTATCAGTTTTCGCGAAGTAAAAGCAGACAATGAATGTGATTGTCAACAAGCAACATGTATATAAAACTATCCATTTACCAAATAAATTATACATTTGCTCGAATAGTGTTTGATAGCCTTGGTTGTGTGAAACAATAATATTCGCAATGAATATTGGTGGATAAGACAATTCAAAGGATTCGTGGCTGGTGGTGAAAAAAAAAAGATCTGGTTTATATTTTCTAACTTCTAATGCTTGTTCCAGATATCTAGCTGACGTAGACACGCAATAGAGACGGGTTTGTGTGTTGAAAGCTGTTTCAAAGATAGATAATGTTTCTGGCCAGTGTCCATCACAAAACAAGTTCCATAGCGGAAAATAGAAATCAGCCTTGGACGTAGTCACACTTACAAAAAGTAGCGTTACGTTTGTTAGATTGTGAGTTCGATCAAACACAAATCCTTGGCATATTTCTCCTATAAGAAAAAAGATAATTTATTTGGTCTGATTAATTTCAAGAGAAATCTAATTTGATACATATTCTGATTCTATTACATCTGGAAAATTTCAGCTTGATCTAATAGCCTAAATTCAATTTAACTATAGGATGTTGTAAAATCCGCGCAAAGTGAGTACATTAGTGAGTTGCAAGATATTTGCTTTCATCAATAGAAAAAAAAAAGAATTACTGCTCTACTTTGCGCAATCACCAGTGACTTGCCGGCAGCCACCAGATGATTGGTCAATTACGACTTAAAAAGCATTTGTCGAATGAAGTTTTTGTTGAAAATCCACTTTATCTTTGCAAAGCGTCAATGCACTTACTTTGAACAAATTTTGTAACACCTTGTAAATATAATGAAATTTTACTCATTTTCAGAATTCGAGAACCGAGCTGTTTCAAACTACTTTGAATTACCTTTAAAATATTTGCGATGAAATACAGATATCTCTGTACTGGTATTTATATGTCGCCAGTATTCTGGTGCGTACGGTTTGTACGGATTACTAGTCAATACACTCACTTGTCCTTCTGAATCCACATAAATATAATAAAAAATTAATATGGACCAGTCGTTCCAAAAATGATTAAATAAAGAAGTGTGGTTATTATCGTCGTAAATAGCGAAAATGAATATTGGACGATTATTCTTCCAGATTTTCATTTTTCCCAACATATTGAAAGTTTGATTAAAAATCGAAGAAGTATTAGTGAGGATAAAATAGGCATCTATTTTTGTCGTCGGAATTGAATGTGCTTTTTTTGTCAATTTATTCCTTATATACTTGACACTTTCCATTTCCATTATTGGGCCGGATGGTTTCATTTGAGTGTCCAAATGCTCAAAAATGAATATGTTTTCGAGATTTTTATAGCAATCATTGATTATTTCGTTCTGAAATTACATTGTGACAAATAAAGTAATGACTTAGAACATTATCTTACAACAGTAACTAGAGAGAAAAAAAATGTTTATTAATTTTTTGAGTATTACCATAATGTCGTTGAATAATGATATATTAGTACTAGGTGTTACGAAATTTCGCGAAAATATAATAATGACATAAAAAATCATATAAATTATCAATTTCAACGAAATTTCCATTTTCTACTGATGATTAAGATTTGAATGTTTCAGCCACTAGCGCAATATTTTCAAAAGATTACTTTGATGTCTGCAATATTGTGGATGATTCACCACTAATGTTCGATCATAGGAAAACCTTTGTTCATAAAACGACAGGGAAAACAATTTTTAATTTGCTAAAAGCTTTGTAATAAGGGATAATTATTCGACAGCACGTATGACATTTACTTAAGAACATTAATGAATAAAATTAATGAACAGAATATGCCAGTAAACATATCATTTTTTTTCATTTTAATAATGTTGAAGTCGTCATTAAATATTTATTTTTGTGCATTTGTTAAATTAAAATATTTCATTAACAAACAGAAAACACGTGAATTTAATTACTGTATTAACTCTATTCTAGTAGATTTTGATTCTTTTAATTTTTAATGGTCATCAGGATACACTTTCTTTCTCAAGAAATAAACGCGATATAAACGATAATAATTCAAGATCTTCGGGATATTCGTTTTTTTTTGCTGAAAAAGAGTTACTATCAACTTAACATAAATAGAAACAAACTCTTTTAGAGAAAATATGTTATCTTTTTATCTAATTAAAAGAAACCCTCATTCATTGTAAACAATGGGTGTAATATAATTACATTACTTAATAGCAGAATGATTAAGGGAAGTTTCAAATAATAATTTCGTGGTATGAATGGCCCAATTCAGAATGTAAAAAAACTTGAATTCATTGCATAGATTCCATTTTCAGTTATTTATAAAAAATTCTATTGTACGCTTTATTTTTTATTGATAGAGAAAATTTGTTGGTAGAAAAACACGAATTAATTGAATACGTCCCGTTTTCAATGTTTATAACAAATAAAATTGTTATAAACAAAAAGCAGCCTATGATCTCCCTGGCAACTCCCTCTACATGTCTGCGAAGTTTCGTTGCAATCAAATAAGTCGTTTCGGAGGTAGATGTAGATAGGCAGACAGACACCACAAATTTATATAGTAGTATAGATAGATAAGAGTGTAATAAATAATAAATAATGTTACCCGCGTGTTGCTTATCGATTGCCACGAATTCTTCTAACCCATATAGTCTTCGTTTAGTAGTTAATGATTTGACAACTCTTTTTATTTGTGAATCTCAATTGAATGCGTATATGTTCTATACGTGGCCCCGATTTTCCGGAGAGCATATTGGGTACAACGCAAGATTGTTTGCATAAACATTTAAATTGATTGTACAGGTACATGCAAACTCTTATTCCAAACATTATCCAATATCCAATGTAAAAAAAAAAAATTGAAATCCAGACAAAGAAGATATCTCGGGATATCTGTAAAAATCAACTTTAAGCTCACATTCAAATGATCTTCAGATAATTCAATTTGATTTTGTCGAAAAAAAATGCTAAAACTATTTACTTGCACCAAACCTTTTTTCTATTGATATTGTAAAACCTATGGACTCTCGATAATAACATTGAATTATTTTAATTAAATTTTAACAACGTCTATACTTTATTTATACAGAAAAAATTCTGACATTTCATTATCTATAATATTTTTACCGATATCCGAAGATATCTTTTTTGTCTAGATGTAGTAATCGCTTAGAACATTGTCTCATAACAGCAATTTCAGATTAATAAGAAAGTTTATATATTTTTTGATTATTACCATGATGTCGTTAAATATTGATACATTAGGTGTGACGAAATTTTGCGAGAATATAATGATGACATAAAGCCACAAATAAAGTATCAATTTCGATGAAGTTTCCATTTCTACCAATTATTGATATTTGGATGTTTGACAATTAATGTTCGACTAGAGAAAAACCTTTTTCATAAAACGACAGGGGAAAAAATGTATAATTTGCTAAAGGCTTTGTAACAAACGCAGTAATTATTTAACATTACGCAGGATATTTACTTAAGAACATTAATGAGAAAAACTAATAAATAGAATGTGCAAGCAAACATAGCATTTTTTTAATTTCAATAATGTTGAGATCGTTATCAAATATTTATGCTTGTATATTCGTTATATTGATATTTTTTAATAGCTGAGAGACAACATGTAAATTTAATTAGTCATATCCACGTTTATCCATTGGATTTTAATTTACTCGAGTAATTGTTGATTTTTAAACGCCATCATGCCATAATTTATAGTTCGAAAAATAAAAGAAAAATCAATGATTCCGCACAATAATCTTCGATATATATTTATAAAGAATAGATAGCTTCTACAGAAAAATACTATTTATTATCAACGATCGATATGACATAATTACGTTGCATAATAATAGATCGATTAAGTAAAGTTTTAAATTATGATGTAGTTTGAATGGACCAATTCCAGATACGTAATACTTTGTGATTGAATTTAAAAAATAGTAAAAAATTCGTGTGTATTAATAATAAATAGAAAAAATTTCAAGCCTCATGTAAGATTTAATTTCTGTTAGTTTACAACAAACACAATTGTTATAAACAAAACAATCGTTTCAATTCAAGTAACAAGGTTGGTAACATTTTTTCAGTAAAAAAAACATCCTGGAAGAAGAACTTGAGTATATTACAAAGATCGTTTATTTAATTTTTTAGAACAAATCCAACCGTTATAAACAAAAAAAGTCCGTTCTTATTCATGTTGCATGATTAGTAACTTTTTTAATCGAATTGCAACGAAACTTTGAATTTCTAATGAATCACTACGCGAGAAAAAATAAGATAGATCTACACAGATCTCCATATTCGCCATTTTTTAAATCTAATTTGATCTACTTATATCTAAAAAACTACAGAAAATTTGATCTAAGTAAATCTATGTATATCTAGTGAGATCACTGAATATCTACACAAACTACTGTATGTCTATAGAGATCTCTATTGATCTCGACGATAAGAAAAAATTAATACACCTACAGCCATCACAGAAGATCTAAAGTGATCGAATTCGTAACAGATTTGTTAACAGATGTACACAAAACAAAGTAGATCTAATTGTGCAAAAAATGGATCTGAGTAGATCCATGTAGATCTATTTTTTTTTTCCCCGGGTATATATTTTCTGCCTAAACTTCAGTGTTCAGTGTTTATTCATTTTATTGTATTAATATGTGGCAAATTAATAGAAAGAATTAAATAATAGAAAACAATATTCATCGCTCAAATCTTAATTAATGAACCTACTTTAAACTCATTAAAAAAATTTTTATATATTCAAGAAACTTGAAAACAAAAATCAAAACACAGTCTATGTATTTGTTTAAAATATTTCATCATGAGCTCAGCATACTTAGGAAAATTCAAAATGAAAAATGTAAAGTAAAGTAATGAAATGAATTTAACCCATACTCATTGGTAATGAATTACTCATTCAATGTTTGTTTTTAATTTTTAGAGTTTATAATAATAATCTCGTGTATTTGTATCATTTATTAACAAAAGTTGCCATTAATAAGTCATACATAGAGATGCAGGATGACCGTCATTTATGATTATGATCACAGAACGGTCATACGACCGTCATGTGACTGACTGTCTCAAATGACCGCCGGTTTTAAAATGCCAATTTACCGTCAGGAATTTTTTGGTCACAAATTTGGTCATCTGCATCTAGTTAGATAAGTTGGACCGTAATTTGAAATTCGGTCACTTATAACCGAATGGTTATTAATTTGGTCATCTGCATCTGGCTTGATGATATAGGACGGAAATTGAAAATCAGATTGCTTGAAGTTTTTAATCACTAATTCAATTCTTTGCATCTTACTAGGTGAAGAAAAACTGCCTTTTAACATTGGACCACTGATTCTTATTTCATAAATTTTTAAAATTTTCAAATAATTTTTGCAATTATCTCATACCTCAGAATAAAAAAAACTTAATGAACAAGAATAAAACTTTTTAGTAAATATAAGCTAATGAATATCTGATATTCAAAGTATAATTCTTAATATACACATATATGTATACATATATTCAAAAATTAAACAAATATTTTCATATTTAATAATGTCAGTCGAACTATTGCTTATAATACTTCACATTAGATATACGTTTATATGTACATATATGTAGCAAATATAAACTTGTGTATTGTAAAAAATTTTGCAACGATAGAACTTTTATTATTTCAAACAAATTCTTTTCGTATATGTTAAATCGTAAATTACATAAATAACATGAAAATCAACTTATTAATATTTAACAATAATTTATAATTAAACCATCTGTTTTCTGAGCTCATTTATGTATTGAATCTAATATTATTTTATTTACATACCTTGCTGAAATTTGTAAACGGTAGAATTCAAAATATAAATCAAGAGATACGGTAGTGTCTCGTGCGCAAAACATAAATCGCCGCCACCTAGCCCTTACGTCACGACGAGGCACTACCGTGTCTCTATACAAATTATAAGATGATTTTTGCAGGTTATAATTTTTAAATTAAAAATTTTTTTCTTATTATAACATAAACATGGGCTGAAATTAAAAATTTGCTCGGAAAGCGATCGCTGACTTTCGATTAAGCATACTATGAAGTATTATCATTGCTTCATTCATAATATACGAAATTAAAAAAATTTCGTTGCGCAAAAATTGAGTAAAATGAGAGTTTATTCATGGAGCAATCATACGTTTTTTTTTTATCAAGTTGGTGATCAGAGTTTTTAATTGCTATGAAGTTCTCTCACTAACAGATTATAAAGTTGGTAACAAGTTAATTTTGCTCGAGCGCGAATATACAAATAATTAAAATATTTTCTGAACAGATTTATTTTTTTTTAAATATTCCTTTTCAGTTGATATGTACCAAAAATGGTGAAATCTCATCAAAAACAGCCCCCTCCTTCTGGGCTGTACAAAAATGTGCGCCAAACATAAATAACGACAATGATGGAATTACAAAAATCCTAAAATAATTAAACGCCAATTATTTAAATCAACAATATTTTCAATATTTTCACAATTTCATGCTTTTATAAAATCTTACCAG